TTTTTTTTTTTTTTTTTTTTTTTTTTTTTTTTTTTTTTTTTTTTTTTTTTTTTTTTTTCTGACTGGTCGGCTGCAATACGGTCGGCGGTCAGCAGGGATGCAACCCTGGAAGAGAGTATAAAATTTCAGCTGAAGTGTATACAACCACAGATATGGATATCTGTTGTAAGTCGGCAATCGTGCACCCTCATCATGAGGCTATGTTTGTCAGACAGTTGCAAACTAATGACTGCAGTGACAGCACTGTAAACCAGTTTTGCTGGGAAACTCCTTCCTTCCCATGCATTGTGCAAGACAAGCGCAGGCGGATGTAGTGAGCCCAGCAGTTTGAAGGCCCCCAGCAGTTGTGGTTCTTCTTGTTATGTTCCTTGTTCCCGCAAATCGCTCTCTTCTGTGTTTTCTTTTCATCAATTTCGTCAGAAGTGGCCAAATGTGACATACGCGTTCCAGCTGGTAGAAATAGACACGACAGTGCAAAATCATCCGCACAAAACTAAATTGTCATCAAACAATCACACGCAATATCACACAGCCGTGAACATATATATAGCACAGTCGCAAAATGAATGTGGAACAAGGACCACAATAGAAAGGATGAAAAGCGAGAAGTAGAGAAAGTGAGAATATGAGGAGCAGAGAAAAGTTGCCCACATCACATCACAAACGCACGACGGCAATTCAAAGCGCGACTCGAGCAACCCTCCCTGTCAACGTGAAAGAGCACAGTCGCAAGCAGGCAGGACGTATATCAGTGGGGGCGGCACACTTGGTAGGCATTACACTGTAAAATACAAGTGGAAAAACCTGGTATGTACTGACGATACCACTCCTTTGTATTTCAGTGTGGGAGACCGGACATTACACACTAGAACACAAGTGGAAAACCTGCACTAAAGATTCCATCCCTTCCATCACAACTCTCTCACAGACTCTCACAGTGCTCTCAAGGGGCTGTCCAAAGCCACAATATGGCCAAAGTGAGACAGCAAGAACAAGGAGTGCCTTGCATAACTAAACAAAATAAACGCACCCCCCAAAAAAAGACAGGGGAACACATGAAAAAGGAAGTACACAGGGTAACTCCCTGCCTTGGAAGCTACACCCTAGACTAGACTATCCGCGCAGTAACTAATCGCATACCGAGATTGGGCCCCCCTTTAATAGCAAGCAAGCCCAACTGCTACCCATATGTACACTCTTGGGGCATGTTACACAATGCTCGCATTGTACAACTCGCAACATCCAGAAGCTGCAGGAACTCGTCAGCGCCATCAATCAAGCATTTATCAGCCTCCGCAATGCGCAAACAAATCCTTGCCTTCTGCTCGTCCGTCATATCTTGAGCAACAACAGCACGGTCCTGCATTTGTGCCAAGATTTGTGACACTGGGTACCCTTCTGCAGCGACATTGGTCACGGCCGCTTGTGCTCGGTCAAATACACCGCTCTTGCAGGTGGTCAGGAGGTCAGCCACCACTTCGTCAGGCACGACTCCAGACACATTGAGAATGTCCTTTTTCATCAGACAATGTCCGTATCGTCGACTTGCGCTTTGTAGGGAGGTGATTGCCCGCCTCATGTCTCCATCTGCTATGCGACACAGGGTGTCCATTGCCTCCGGTTGGAGTGTCAAACCTTCTTGGTCACAGATATACGAGATCCGCTTCACCATGATATCACTGACCAGTGGCTTGAACCGAAACTTGGCACACCGTGATGCCAACGGCTCTATGATTCGGCTTATGTAGTTGCAGATGAAACAGAACCTCGTAACCTTGGTGTAGGTTTCCATTGTGCGTCTGAGAGCGTTCTGCGCATCTTCAGTCATCGAATCAGCTTCATCCAGGATGAGAAGCTTGAAGGGAGGACAAGGGTAGCCTGGCACACCAGCTCCCACAGCAATAGCTGCAAAGTCCTTGATCTTGGTCCTAACGACGTTGATCCCACGGTCATCACTGGCATTCAGTTCCAACACCCGCGACTTTATAAGCTCTGGGCCAAACAGTTGACGAGCGATAGCAAGAGCGGTCGATGTCTTCCCTGTCCCTGGGGGACCATAGAATAACAAGTGAGGCAGATTTCCCGTCTCTAGCGTGTTCTTCAACGTCCTCACAACCTCCTCTTGGTATGCTACCTCTGACACACTCTTCGGCCTGTACTTCTCCACCCATGGTTGCGAGCTTGCAAGCGCCATTCCTTTCCCCCTTTCTTGCCACACACCGACTCAGAACCCTCTCCCTGCAGAGACCCCAGCAACCTTCTCACCGACCCACCCTCGTTCTCTCCGATTCCTACCGATCCGACAACCTAACCCCCTACAAAGCAAAATAGATGTCTACCAACCTGCGATTCTGATGGAGCGATCTTTCTCTACCTTGTGCAACAGGAGTGCTGCGCAATCATGCTCAAGACTCTGAAGCGTTCCTTTGCAATATAGCAAATGTCGAGCATGGGCGGCGGCTATGTCATCCATACCCAGTCAAGATCAGATCCCGCAATAACATTTCAAGCACGCATGAATTGCAGACGCGGGGAGATCAACCCGAGGCAGCACCTTCCTGCGGCACAAGACCAGACCAGCAATGCCAAGAGAGCTCACACGGTCAAGCTTCTAACCGATCAATACGTGGAGTGGAGACTTCGACATTCCCGTGACATAACAAGGAGGCAACAAGTCACCCTCTTAGCCAGAGGACAAGAGCAGCCAAATGACGTCAACCAACGGCAAGTGAGGCCAAGTCCAGTTTGACAGGGGGCCAGACTCAGGCCAGCTCCTGCAAAATGGTCAAATGGAGACCAGACTGCGAGCCTCATCAATAGGCTTTGCGGGACGGGATGGGCGGAAGGGGAAAGGGGGCTTTGCAGTAAAATGCCAGCCTCCCTAAGCTCACAGCAAATTCAAACGCACAAACTTGTGAGCCAGTGAGCATTCGGATGAGCCAGAAGCATGCAAAACAACCTTTATGAAACATTTTTAAAAAGTTATAAAAATAAAAAAAAAGTTCACACATCATCAAGGAAGACCCATGGGTCTTGCTAGCCCTCACACCTTCATTCACACTCTATTGGCCTCACGCTGTCCCTCACAGTTAAAGTTAATGGCCTATCTTCCACCACCCTTCTCCCCAAGCCTAAGTCTCGGCTTAGGCCAAGCGGGGGTATTTACCATCTGCAACAACTCAGGAGGCTTCGAGCACGATTTCTTCAGACTGCTGCAAGACGCTAGTACTGAGCAGGTAGACCATATAGCATTCATCGATCATCAAATATCAGCACCATCAGAACAAACACTGTGACATCCACTCAACAAAAACGGTAAAAAGAGGAAAAAGAAGAAAAGAGAGACCTCACCAGCACCGAAAAGGATTCAGAAAAGTATACTACTCTCAATGGATATCCACTCAATGGATATCCAGTCAATGGCTATCCACTCAACACAAAGGGTATATACTCTATTACTCATACAACGAGCGCGGACGAGGCACGTAATCAGGGAAGACAAGGCTGAGACCGGTCATGCATTCAGTCAGGACAAACTGGAAGCAAGAAGGGAGACAGCATAAGGAACACAGGATGCTGCATCAGAGGGAGTGTTATGTATCATCAAACACCATGCCATGACACGTGCTGTCAAGATCTCTTCTTTTTCGTTTTTTTCCAAATTCAATGGTCATATCTTTTTTCTTTTCTTTTTTTCAAAAAACACACCACCCCTTCTATTCTGGGGAGGCATCAGTCCGGTTGCTTATTACCGGCAAGCATGAGTTCAGAAAGGACTCAGAAGAAGAAAAGTGAAGAGGGGTCAGCCTAGCCCTTGCAGTACTCGTCACCTTTTACTCAAGGCTCAAGGGGGGGACTGCTAAGAGCCGACCCCCCTCAAGGTCTCTTCCTTTTTTGTTTTTTTCCTAGAAAGTTTTTCATGCCCGGCCGGGCCTGCACGGCCGGGCACCCGGGCGTGATGCCCGGGGGGGTCTGATGCCCGGGGTACCCGGGCGTGCAAAAAAAAAAAGAAAAAAAAAAACTTTTTTTTGCCTTTCTGCGCTTTCCCAGAGGACCCCAAATCCGGGCTCATTTCATTTTTTGAGAGTTGGGTGTCAAGGGGGGAAAGGGGGGTATAAACTGTTTTTAAAGGGGCTAAGACGGGTTAAAGGGGGGTCCTTTAGTGTGATTTTGTTATTTTCTTTTTTATCTCCGATTGGGTGAGGAATTCTGATGTGACCCTCAGCCAAAAGTTGTTTGTATTGCAATTCTACACAACATATTTTTTTTTCTGGAATTTTTTGAATTTCGTTTTTCTTTTTTTTTTCTTTTTTTTTTTTTGTGCTGGGGCTGCCCGGAACCCTGCCCGGGGGTCATGCCCGGCCGGGCACCCGGGCGTGTATCCGGGCACAAGTTGGGTGCCCAGGCGCCCAGAAAAACAACCTAGTTTTTTTCCAATTCAATGGTGATATCTTTTTCTTTTTGTTTTTTCCAAAAAACACACCAGCCCCTTCTATTCTGGGGAGGCATCGGTCCGGTTGCTTACTAACGGCAAGCATGAGTTCAGAAAGGACTCAGAAGAAGAAAAGTGAAGAGGGGTCAGCCCATCCCAGCCCTCGCAGTACTCGTCACCTTTTACTCAAGCCTCAAGGGGGGGACTGCTAAGAGCCGCCAACCCCCCCCCCCCCCACCCAAAAAAAAAAACCATTGCCTTCCTAGGAGCCATCTGATGGCCGGGAAGCTTACTAGCAGCACCCAGTCACGCATCAGGTGGGCCTTAGGGAGGACAAGGCGCGGGGGAGGCCCTCCTAGCAGCCTCTTGGGACGCAAGTCTCCAGTCTAATCATACCCATTTAAACAAAAAAACAACCGCAGGTGCCCTTTTTTTTTTTTTTTTCCTTCTTCTTCTTCTTCAGATGCCCATATTATACATGCAGCTGCTGAGAGGGACGTGGCAAAAAAACACAGCATGCATGGCCATGCACGCAATCATCACACAACAAGACTAGTATTGTCACTCTAGTTAATAATAATAATAATGGAGTTACAAATATTTTTTTGCAGTTCATACCATGCATAGAATCTGTTGACTGCCAACAGCACCAACCTGTCCAGCAGGGTTCTCGACCCCTGCCACACGGACCCGCACCTCCCTTACGCCTGCCGGACCCCCTGTTGTGTGGGGATGAACCTGCTAACCCCAGGGAAGCCCCCAGCGTGAAGTGGTGAAAAGAAACAAAAAAAAAAAATGGTAATGCATATACGGATCCGCATGATCTGCACATACTCCCCTTTCACGTTTCATGTCCCAGGAGGATGGACCACTCTACACCACCCAGGGATAAGGGATCTGGGGGTTGACGCTCAAATCCCGTGATTTCTCCCCAGGGATACCCTAGTGGCAACACTGCTGTCAAGCACATCCACAGCACACTACCTTCTTCCCCTGAACACAACGCATATGCGTTGTATTCGAGTTTCAAATTTTGAAAAAAAAATCGAATAGAACACATGCGTTGTATTTGATACAATGCATATGCATTATGTTCGGGGGAAGAAGGTACCTGTGAAGAACAGAGTTCCCGGGCACCAACTGCCGAGCACAGAGCAACAGCAACCTACCTTCTTCCCCGGACTACAACATACGGTCATTTTCGCTGCATCTGGACTGGAATGTGAGCCAAATACGGCCATAATGACCCGTACGTTCTATTTGGGGGGGGAAGACGGTAGTGGTCCAGCACACAACGACAGCAGGCGAAATGTTGAGCTCATAATTCCAGGGTGGTGTTACCTGTCAAAATTGCACACAGGTAATAGGACCCTAGCACTTCCACACGTTCTGAACCAGGACCACCACTTTCCAGCCCATAGGCACGGGCCCAGAGCTTGCACACATGGTTAACAGGGACCAGCCCTTTTCAGCCCTGTAGGTTCAAACTACTGGTCTCTCCGAAGTTACTGTTCATCCGTTTTCGTATACGAGTACCATCCCTACCTTTTCCACCCCAATAAAATGTACGGTCATTATAGCTGAATTTGGGCCGCATTTCAGTCCAGATACCACTATCATGAAGGTACATTTTATTCGGGTGAAGAAGGTAGGTCGTTCGGCCCAGGGATGGTATAGAGCAATGGATGAACAGTAACTTTTTGCCCCAAAATGTCTATGGGAGGCCCAGACTTTCTCAATAATACAGAGGCCAGTACCGGTACCGTGTTGATTTTTCCAACGGCCGGTACCCATCACTATCCAGCTCGGAAAATGCATGTTTTGGTTCGTCAGCACCACCACGTCCAAGGCTGTTTTTTCCCGACCCGAAACCTGCTGTGCGCCAAAGCAAAAATGAATCAGCGCAGGCACGATTTTTTTTTTTCCCCCTTTTCAGCTGGCAGCGCCGCCCATTTTCGTTCAGTAGCCTGAGCCCCAAGAATTGTGGCCGATAATTGCTTTGCCTGGGGCGCAAAGTGGTGTTTTCACCCCCCAGGCATTGACATAGGCATTTGGATGCAGTCTTTTTATTTTTTTTTCAAACTGCCAGTGGCCGACCCCGCAATTTGTAAACCCCCTTCCCATTTACTCCGGGCCACGGAAAGGCTCAGAATGCCCGTTGGAAGAGGCTGGCAGCACCAGGCAGATCACACAGCCCGACGGGCAGGCAAAAAAAATCCGCATTGAGCAGGAAGCAGAGAAATAACGCGAGGTCGGATCTTTCCTGCTCGATAAGATCGGTGTTGATTGAAGGAATGCATCTTCACTTTTCACCACTATTTAGTGGCGCACTCACATGAGGACTTTCTCGACTTATCTGTGGATGTGATTGCAGTCGGGTGCATCCAGGCCCGAACGAAAAAGCGGTCAGATACGTCCAGGAAAGTCCTCGGCCAAGCACAGACTTAGCATGTTGGCTTCTTGTCAGACCGATTACTTCAAATAGTGAAAGGAAACAGAATACATGACGATCATATGCTCCAGGCTGCAGCAGCTACTACTGATGTAAAGCGCTGCCTGCGCAATTGTGGCATACTGTGCAGCCAAACGGGCCTGCAGGGCCCGACCAGATGGAAATTCAGGGCCCTACAGGGCCTGTGTCGTTTCAGCCTAAAAGCCTGAAAACGATGGCCTACAGGCCCTGTGTCGTTTCAGCCTAAAAGGCTGAAAACAAGGGCCATTTTCAGGCCCTCGTAAGGTCGACCTGCCCTGAAACTTAGGCACGGACGGGCCAGCACTACACAAGACTGGCCCGCCCTGCAGGCTGCAGGTAGGCCTAGGGAGTACGTAGGGACTTCCCAGGCAGTTCACAGGTACATCACGTGTAGGAGGCAGGAGGCAGTCCGCAGGATTCGGCAGCGGCACTCTGGAGGAGCGCTGCAGTAGTAGTAATAGCGTTAGCAGTAGTCTTCAGCGCTGGGCGCTATTAGGAGCTAGAGTAGCATTGGAGAGACAGAGAGATGGTTGGTGGAGGCCAGGGAGACTTACCTGTGGCGCCATAGCTCCAGCTTCGTCTTCGATGTTCCTGCAACAAGGCGCCACCTTCACAGGTT